GCAGAGCCTTTTGTTGTTCTGGGCCCCACTCAAAACTAGCAGCTTTCTGAGTCACTTGATAAATAGGCTGAAGCACCAGACCCAATTGAGGGATATGTTGCCTCCAAAATCCAAAAAGACCCACTAGGTATTGTGCCTTCTTTTAGTAGTGGGGGAAGCTAGATACAATAACTTATCCTTCACCTTAGTAGGAATATCTCAACATGCCTCACACTACTGGTCCCCTAGAAATTTCACCGAGATGGAAGGTGCCTGAATTTTGTTGGGTTAATTTCCCACCCTCTGGCACACAGATGTCTCACCAATAAGTCTAGAGTCATTGATACTTCTTCCTTACTAGACCCAATCAATAAAATGTCATCAATATAATGGACCAGCATGATATCTTGTGGAAGGGAAAGGTGATCAAGATCCCTATAGACTAATTTATGACATATTGCTGGGGAGCTGATATACCCCTGAGGAAGCACTGTAGAAGGATATTGTTGGCCTTGCCAGCTGAAGGCAAACTGATTCTGATGGTCCTTTGAAACTGGTATTGAGAAAAAGCCACTGGCCAGATCAATAGCTACATACCAAGTACCAGGAGATGTACTAATTTGCTCAAGCAATGAAACCACATCAGGAACAGCAGCTACAATTGGAGTCACCATCTGATTAAGTTTACAATAATCCACTGTCATTCTCCAAGATCCATCTGTTTTTTGCACAGGCCAAACAGGCAAACTAAAGGGGGATGTGGTGGGAATCACCACCCATGCGACCTTCAAGTCCTTGATGATGGCAGTAATCTCTGCAACCCCTCCAGGGATGCGGTATTGCTTTTGGTTTACTATTTTTGTAGGTAGAGGCAGTTCTAAAGGCTTCCATTTGGCTTTTCCTACCATAATAGCCCTTACTCCACATGTCAGGGACCCAATGTGAGAATTCTGCCAATTACTGAGTATATCTATTTCAATTATGCATTCTGGAACTGGGGAAATCACTACCAGATGGGTTTGTGGACCCACTGGACCTACTGTGAGATGCACCTGAGCTAAGATTCCAACAATAAGTTGACCTCCATATGCCCCTACTCTGACTAGTAGGCCACAATGATGCTTTGGGTCTCCTGGAATCAGTGTCCATTCAGAGCCAGTAATCCCCAAAAAGTTTGATTATTTCCTTTTCCCCAATGAACAGTGACTCTTGTAAAAAGGCCTCAGATCACTTTGGGGAAGGCTGGGAAAAAGACTGACAGTATAAATTTTTGCCAATGTAGTGGGGTCCTTCCTCCAGGGACCCAGCCTCTCCTTCATTCAAGGGGTTGTGGGTCTGTAAACTGACTCAAGTCTGGGAATTGATTGAGGAGCCATGACTCTGTATTCTGGTGATTCAGTCTAGATTGCTGTTCATGTGACCTAGAATTCTTCTGTCTATACAGATCAAGTAAATATCTAGTAGGTTTAGTACTATTTCACTTCTAGAAATACCATGCCTAAGTAGCCAATGCCATAATTTTACATGAGTCAGAGTATTTTGATTACTGTTTTGACTCTGAAGTCCAGTATGGTATCCACACCCACCTTGTCTTTGCTGATTAACTGCTGACACTTGTTCCCTACTACCACAGGGTCCAATCAGCCCCATCATCGTTAAGTGTCTTAATTCAATTAGGGCAGTTCCCACAGTCAAATTCAGCTTACATAAAATAGCAATCACAGCAGTCTTCAAGAATGCTGGGGCCCCCTTCACAAATTTGTTCCTCACTGTAGTGTTAAAAGGTGTGTCCTCTGGGATCTCCATTTCTGGGTCTAGGGGTCTAATCTGCTAAATCCATTCTAACATGCCTATTTCCCTAAGCCTCTGGATACCTTCTTCTACATTATACCAAGGCAGGTCTGGTACTTCAAGTTGACTTAAGGTTGTTGTTGTTGTTGTTATTGTTGTTATGTGCCATCGAGTTGGCCCCAACTCATAGCGACCCCTCCTTGGGTTTCTGAGGCAGTATCACTACAGAAGTAAGATTGCCCAACCTTCCTTCCAAGCAGTGGCTGGTGGGTCTGAACCGCCAGCTTTCTGGTTAGCAGTCAAGTGCCTTAGGCACTACGCTACCAGAGCTCCTTGATTTAAGGTAGGCCACTGCATAATCCATGCTTCTGTGTTGTTGTTGTTGTGCACTGCCATCAAGTCAAACCCGACTCATAATGATTCTTCCTTAGGTTTCTGAGGCGGTATCACTATGGAAGCAGTTTGCCCAATCTTCCTTCCAAGGAGTAGCTGGTGGGTTTGAACCATTAGCCTTCTGGTTATCAGTCAAATACCTTAGGCACTAAGCCACCAAAATGCCTATGCTTCAGTAAGCCAACCAAATAAACAATTAGATCCTCTCCTAACCTGTCGAGCTGAAACACTGAATGAAGAATCCATACTTAGTGGGCCTAAATCAATAAACTCAGACTGGTCCAATGTTACATTCCTTGCACCATTGTCCCACACCCTCAGTAGACATTTCCACACATATTCTCCAGGCTTCTGTCTGTACGTGTTAGCAAAATCAAGTAAGTCTTTTTGGGTGTAGTGTACCACTTCCTCAGTCACACTTTGCATTTCACCTTTTTGGGCTCATTTGGACTTAAGTTTAGTTACAGGTTTAGCAGCAACAATGGGTGGTTGGGGCAGATGTCTTCCATGGCATCTACCTCAGGCAATGATCCACCAGGAACAGTTGGGTTAATCCCATCAAATAGAGGTAGAAGGGATAATGGTTTAAAAGTAATCCCTTCAGATGGGAGGGATGGTGCTGTTGGCAGGAGGGATTCAACAGAATTCGTTGTTGTTATGTGACATTGAGTTGGATCTGACTCATAGCAACCCCTCATTGGGTTTCTGAGGTACTATCACTATGGAAGTAGACTGCCCAACCTTCCTTCCGAGGAGTGGCTGGTGGGTTTGAACCATCAGCCTTTTGATTACCAGTCAAGTGCCTTAAGCACTAAGCTACCAGAGCTCATACCCTCATATTCCTGTCTGTCCATATGTCCCCATCCCAGGTTTCAGGGTTCCATTTTTTCCCAATCAATGCCCTCACTTTAACTTCAGACACCATTCTGGGTTGGCAATTCATTGGTGTTGTAATTCAGCCACCCTTACAAGACTCTGGGTTTGTTTTTCAGCAATATCAGCTCTGTTACTAGAAGAAATAAGGCTTTCTTTCAGGGCACAACTGGAAAAATTGAGGTCTTTTATGTGGTGCTTGAGCTGTGACTCAGCAGCCCTGAACACCTCTCCCTTTTTCACCACTTTGTCTAGCGTAAGTTGGACCAACCAACCTGCATCCTCATACTCCTCATGCTGACAAAATTGCAAAAAAGTATCAAATATGCAATAACCCAGAACCTCACTTCTCAAAAATACTTGATCTATTGGTGGTGCTATTTTTCATATTAATGTTGCCACCTCAAGCCATGGATTAGCAGGGCCCTCTTTACTAGCAGAGGCAGAGTCACCAGTGCCTTTATGATTAATCAAATTGGAGAAACAAAACAGAATCAGTGAGTACCAATTTAGGAAATCCATCCTTATGATTTTGTCTCTCTATAACCACTCCC